CTCGGCAAGCCCAGCTGGGACTTCTCGTGGGAGGACGCCCCCCCGCTGGACCCCCCATGGTCGCCCAAGCTGATTGTCGGGTTTTTGCAGAGGGCGCCCTCCTTTTTATTTCCCTCCTCGGGGAAAATCCGCCTCCCCGACCGAGACAAATCCGGGCCCTGCCGAGAGATAGGGGCCTTTTTTCCCCGGAGGCGCTCCTCCCCCGAGCCCCCTTTTCCGACAGCGGTCGCCGCATTAAGCATCCCCTTCGGCCCCCAGATTTCCCTCCCGCCTCCCGCCTCCTTTTCCCCAGGGGGTTCCGGGGCCGCGCCGGGGCTTTTGCTGCCTCCCTGCCCCCCTTTCCTGGACCGATTGCCAAAGCTCCCCGGGGGATCGGAGGGGGTGGCCGAGGGGGACCCGACCCAAAAAAATGGGGCGTTTTTTTAAGAGCCCCCCCTTTCCTTTTTGGGGGATGCAACCCCGGAAAAGGGGCCCGAAACGGCGGCGGGGGTTTTTTTGCCCCCTCCGCCGCCGGGCAGAAAGGATTTTCCCCCGGGATGGACACCGGAAAAAAAGGTGCGGGGCCCCCCCCCCCCCCCCCCTCCCCCGCACCCAGCCCAGTCGCCGTTACCACTGCCACGTCCACCGCCGCCACGTCAACCCCCACGCCCCACCGCCACAATCCCACTGCCACCGAGCCCGCCATCACCGTCGTGCGCCACCCTTAGCCCGCCGGCCAACTCACCAAAGTGCTGCGGGCCGGCTTAGAGAAGGCGGTAGAGAGGGGGGGGTCGTGCCCACGCCGCCGCCCACGCCACCATTGCCCCCTCCCGGAAAGCGCCGATGCCGCCGCCAATGTCACCGGCGCCGCGGTCTGGCGCGCGCCAGGTGACCAAGGCAGGGCGGTCGTACACGCGCTACACCGGCCCGGACGGCAGAAAGGCCGAGTCCAAGGCGGCCGCCTGGCGTTGGATGAAAAACGCGCGGCCAGCGAAACTCACGTTTCTCGTCTCCGAAGGCGGCCGCATGGCGCATCGTCGAACGGCAGGCGGCGGCCGGCGCCTGCGGCGCCGGCAAGAGCAACGGCACTGGCAGCGGCGCGGCGGGCGAGCAAGGCTCGGCAGCAGCAGCGGAGGTGAGGTTGCCTGAGAGATGGAGAGATGGGGAGAGTTGCTGCGCGCCTACCCCCAGCGAGAGGCTGCCCAAGATTGCCCGACATGAGCGCGCCGCTGCGCGTCAACCCAGGCGAGCTTTTGCGGCGGCGCGGCGGAGGCGGATCCGTGCGGCGGCGAGGCGGGCGGCCTTCTGGTCGACGCTGTCGCAGTCTTCTAGATGCTGAAGAGGAGGGGCACTCGAGACCACACGAGATCGCACGAGATCACTCGAGACCACACGAGATCACACGAGATCACTCGAGATCACTCGAGATCGCACGAGATCACTTGAGATCACTCGAGATCGCACGAGATCGCACGAGATCGCACGAGATCGCACGAGATCACCCCGGGAGGAGACACGTGCACTCGACTCTACTCCCACGGCGTTGCGTGGGCGCGGCCTTTGTGTCCTCGCGAGCCGAGCGCACCACAGCACTGGTGGTGCCTCGTCTTCCCGCCCTCACTCGCCTTGTCTTCACACAAAAACACAACCCCGGACCCAAGACGCACAAGCTCAGACAGTCGAGAAAGGGATAGACAAGACGCACAAGCTCAGACGCCTTGTCTCCACACACCAGGCGGAGGCCGGCGGAGCGTGTCTCCCGTACTCTGAAGATCAACGCGGTGTTAACCTCCCGTACTCTGGCGGCCTGTCCTAGACGCGGAAGACGTGTTCTTGTCTTCCAGCTAGCACTCGAGAGGACGCGCCGTCAGCCGTATTCAACTGCATTCGTACCGCTCGTATTCACGCGGTGCTCTGAAGACTCTGCACGACACCGAAATCCCGCCCCGAGGTCGGCGTATTCACCCTGTAGGCTACCTGTGCCACCTAGCAGAGGCGCGCAAGAAGGGCAAGGCCCAAGGTGCGTGCGCCCCTCCCTCCCTCCCTCCCTCCCTCCCTCCCCCCCCTCCCTCCCTCCCCCCCACGGGCCTCCCAGGGACGCTCGAGGCGGCGCTGGTCGAGCGGCGCGAGGTCGGATGGCCAGGCCGAGGCTGTGCACGAGGCGACGTTCACGCCATGATGCGAGGGTAGGCGTGCGGTTGAGGAGTGGACCGCGATGTCGGCTGCGCGCCGCGCGCCCTCGATGCAGCGGGCGCGGAAGCTGCTCTCGGCCGCAGAGGCGCACACACGCGCACACGCGCACACGCATGCCCACAACCCTCGCCACACCGGCGCGTCGAGGCGTCCTCCCTCCTGACCGCAGGCGTGGCCGCACGAGGCGGAGCGCTTGCGGCCGCTCGACCGTCGGCACCTCGACGGCGCCGCGGGAGGGAGGGGCGGCCGCAAGGCGGGCGGGCAGCAGGGGCGCCCGTGCGAGTGTTGCGGCGAGGCGGACGGCCGCGACGCCGTGCGCTGCGGCACGTGCCCCGCGCGGCGCCACCTGATGTGCTTCTTCCCGCCGCTCGCGGACGCGTGCGAGGCGGCCGGCTGGCAGTGCGACGGGTGCGTCCGGGCGGTCGCCAGCGGCGGCGTGCTGCGCTCGCTGCCCGCGGTCGGCGAGACGATCGAGGTCGACATCGCTGAGGTGCGAGATCTGGGGAGATATGGGGAGATATGGTCGACATCGCCGAGGCGCGAGATCTGGGGAGATCTGGGGAGATCTGGGGAGATCTGGGGAGATATGGTCGACATCGCCGAGGCGCGAACTTCAGAGACACATTTGCGAGACACTTTTCGGCACTTTTCGGAGACACTTTTCGGAGACACTTTTCAGAGAGATACCGAGACACTTCCGAGACACTTTCGAGACACTTCGGAGTCATCGCCAAGGCGGAGGCGGCGGGCGGCGGTGGCGCGTGGGTGGCGGCGGAGGTGGCGGAGCATCTCGGCGAGGGCCGCTTCGCCGCGCGGTACGAGACGTGGCGCTTCTGCGCCTCGCTCGGCGACAGTGACGAGGCGACGCTCGAGAGCGGAGCTGCCGATCCAGCGACGGGCGGGGAGCCGCGTCAGCAGCACTTGCTCCGAATAGGCGACGCTCGAGGAGAGCGGCACCAGAGGCGCCTCGCACCGACTCTCGGGTCATCTCGGGTCATCTCGGGTGATCTCGCGTCAGGAGCTCTCGATGGACGATGAGGGGCTCGATTGGCGCCGACTCCCGCCGCAGGGCGCGGCGGCGGCGCAGGCGGCCGCTGCCGCGGCCGCCGCCGCGGAGGAGGCGGCGGCGGCGGCGCGCGCTTCCGCTGCGGAGAGGCGGAGCGCCGATGCGGCGGCGCTGGCGCGGGACACGCAGCCACGGCCCAGCCCGCTGCTCGCTAAGGTGGAGGCGTTGTTCCGCGAGGGCTACGTGATCGCCGACGGTTGCATCGACGCGGTCCAGGTGTCGCCGCTCCTCCCCGAGATATGGGGAGATATGGGGAGATATGGGGAGATATGGTGTCGCCGCTGCTCCACGCGCCGTGGGAGTGGCACTTTGAATGCCGTGCCAGCTCCTGCCTATCTAGACGTGGAGTCGCGAGGGCTGCCCGAGCCCTCGCCCCGCCACACTCGTGTGTGTGGAGAAGGGTCCCTTCCCTCTCCTTCCCTAGGTGGAGACGTGCCTCGACGTGGTGGAGGAGGGCTTCAAGCACTACATGCATTCGGTGACGCGGCCGGTCGCTGCAGGAGGAGCCGGCCTCGCCCCCTCTCCACAACGTCTCCGCGCCTCTCCCCGCCGCCCAGGTCAAGCAGCTCGACCTGCAGGAGGAGCTTCTCGCCTCCGGCTTCATGGAGATCAAGATGCGCTCCGCCGGCCGGTGGGCGAGCCCGTCGACCCCACGTCCTCCCGACACGCCCCCCCCCCCCCCCC